TTCTCAGAGCTATAGGGATCCAACTATTGTAATCCCTTTTCTCGTTCTCATGGCTTGAGAAATTTTGTATTAGTAATCTAATGGAAATGGTATTGGAATCCTAGAGTTATTTACAATCTACAACCTCTAGTGCAACCCACGGTAAGAATAAAAGACACTGAGACATATTCAAAGCAATGGGCAGCCAAGTGAGGATACACGGAGCAAAAGCCTTGATCCAAAGCCTCACCCAGAATTTATTATTTCGTTAAGAAGGGAGTGGCTCAAGGATGAGTGACAGTGAGATTGGTGGGAATTACATGAGCAACATGAGCTGAGCTGGCCAGTGGAGAGCAAACTTCCCTGCAGTATGCAGGGAGGAGGGTATGCAGAAAGCCCAATTTGCATAACTTGATTGAGGTAGTATGTAGATGATTTAGGAGGCTATTGCTTCAGTTTCTGATATGTACACTTTTTTGTCTTTTTCCTTTTTATTGGTACCAGGAATTGAACTCACGACTGCCTGCAAGGCAGGCGCTTATGCCGCTGAGCTAAATCCCCAGCCCCGATATGTACACTTTTAAGTTATAGCCTCTTATCTTGTGTCTCAAACCCAGTTGACATTCCTGGAGCTATGTGGCTCTACCATCCCACTGTGCTCTACCATTTATAGGGAACATGGTGTAAGGAAACAGGAAAATGTCAGCTGGCTTCAAGGATTATATATTAGTACCTTTGCCAGCCTTATCTGCATTGCTTAGAGCCAATTGAAGGCAGAAGGAAACAGCACAGCCAGCTCTGTATATAACAGTACATGGAGACAGGGTTTGGTTTAAGTAATGCTGAAGCAATTGTTTTGCATTCAAGGGGAGCTGCCCTGATTGCCTCCTACACCAAGGTGTAGTGAGAAGTAGAGAGACGGTAGGAATGTTCTGAAGGGCTGGGGATTTAGCTCAGTGGCATAAGCGTCTGCCTTGAAAGCAGGCAGTCGTGAGTTCGATCCCCGGTACCGATAAAAAGGAAAAAGACAAAAAAAAAAATTTAAAAAAAAAAGGAACGTTCTGAAGACAGTCTCTTGCAGTTTGAACCCATCTGAAGAATGTGATCAGAGGGGCCAGAACCAGAGGGCTGACTACTGGGTGCTGAGTTGTTTGCCATCTTGGAACTCATTCAGGGTGTCTCCCCTATCCATAACACACTGTAAGGATTGAGGAGCTGAGGCCACCACAGGTATGCAACCCCAGTAGTGAGTGCAGCCGACAAAACACAGTGACTAAAACTGGGGCATGTGGCATGTACCCATAGAGCCAGGTATACAAGAGGCTGAAGCAGGAGGATTCATTAAGTCCTGGAATTTGAGGCCAGCCTTAGCAACACAGTGAGACTTCACCTCAGGAAGGGAAAAAAAAGGGGGGGGGGAATGGAGGCAAAAAAGGGAAGAAAAGAAAGGAAGAGAAGATAGATTGACTATTAAGCTTCTTGGGGGATACTATAGCCAAGGGTTAAGGAAGGGAAGGGAAGTGGGAAGGGGAAAGAAGAAGGAAGTAAAGTGATTAAGCTCCCTGTAGCTAAGGGCTAAGGGAAGAAAGGGAGGAAAAAAGGAAGGAAGAGAGAAAAGTTACTAGGCATGCTGGGGATATAGCTAAGTGGCATAAGTGCTTGCCTGCCAAGTACAAGGTCCTGAGTTCGATTCCTAAACCAAAAAAAGTTACTAAGCTACCTGAAGGAGGCTGGGTTGAGGGCTGCACAAATGCTGTTGAGAGTCTCTAGGAAAAGAGGGACAGGGGAGAGATACGTGTGACTCAAGCAATAAAGGGGGTTGGGAGTACAACTCAGTGGTAGAGTGCTTATGGAACTCCAGGCCTAAAAATAAAAGTAAACCAGACCCAGAGGTGCACACCTATAATCCCAGCCACCTGGAAGACTGAGGCAGAAGGATTACAAGTTTAAGGCCAGACTGGACACCTTAGTGAGATCTTGTCTCAAAATTGAAAAAAAAAAAAAAAATGGGCACAGCCTTGAATATAATTCAGTTCAAAGCCCTACAGTCAACCCCAGTACCACAAAAAGAAAACAAAAACAGCAAACTAGGCATAGTTATGGTGGCCCACATCTGTAAATTCCAGCACTTGGAAGACTAAGGCAGGAGAGTTAGTTCTAAGCCAGCCCAAACTACATAGTGAGTTTGTTTTTCCTTTTTTTTTTTTTTTTTTTTTTTTGAGGCAATTTTGAATATGCCTTGTAGCCCAGGTTGGCCTTGAACTCACAGTAATCCTTGTATCTGAGTCCCCCAAATACTGGGGTTACAGGCATGCACCACCACACACAGCACATAGTGAATTTCAAAACTAGTCTGGACTAAATAGCAAGACCTCAAAACAAAAAAGAAAACACAAAAATGGAGATACTGTTTTTTTGAGAGTATCTCACTGTGCAGCTCAGGCTGGCCTTGGTCTCACTTTACAGCCCAGACTGGTCTTGAACTTGCAATGGTCTTCCTGCCTCAGCCTCCTGAGTACTGGGATTATAGGAATGCACCACCACATCCAGCATATTAAGAGTGTTTGTCTGCCATAGTATACTAGACGTTATTTCTATTCTCTGGACCTCATTGGCCTTAGCTATAAATTGAAAATGTTAGATTGAGTTTTCTGGGGGACATTTCCCCTCCCCCAGACTGTGTAAGAATCCTGTTAGGAGCTTTTTATTCCTCTAGTAACACATGTTAGAGACTTTCTTTTTCAAACAGGGTCTCACTATGCAGTTCAGGCTGGCTTTGAACTCATAGCAATCCTCTTGTCTCCCAAGTGCTAGAATTACAGGCATGGGCCACATCTGGTGGTGATTTTTTTTTTTCTTTTGTACTGGGGATTGAACTCACAACCTTGAGCTTGCCAGGCATGCGCTTATGCCACTGAGCTAAATTCCTGGCCTGGCTGTGATTTTTATTCTAACTGCTAAGTAGTGGTTTGGGATTCCCTGGATTAGGAATGACCAGGGCAGTTTGGTCAAGATGCATTATTTGTGTGTGTGTGTTTTGAGACGGGGTCTCACCATGCAGTTCAGGCTGGTCTTGAGATCCCTTTTGTAGCCCAGGCTGGTCTTGAACTCACAACAATCCTCCCACCTCAGCCTCCCAAATGCTGGGATTACAGACTCAAGCCACCACACCCAGTTTAAGATGCAGATTCTTGACTCAGCAAAATTCTGACAGTAGGTCTAGGAATCCAGTGCTTAACAGGTACTCATGATATGAGTGTTCCATGGATTCCATGCCTAGGTAGCAGGAAGGGTCCAACACGCCAGAGTCCCTCATCTCTGAAAAGCATGATGGTAGATGACCTACCTCAGCTGTGGGAAGCCAGTGGACAATGTGGTCTGCCCACCAAATTGGACAGTCTGATTCTCAAGAGGAATTCTCACTCAACCATGAAGACTTCTGCTCCATCTAATACTGGCCTGCCCTATCCACCTCTCTTCCCCTCTTAACTTTAATCCCCGATTTAAAATGTATTTCCGATCTTTTCTCTCCTTTAATCCTCAAAAAATTCCCAAATCATGATCCTTCTCTCTTAGAAACTAACTAAAGAGGGAGTCTATGATTGCCAGAAGGGTATGTGACTCCTATGTGTGTATACAATTAACAGAAAAGCCAGCAATTCCAGTGAGCCAAATCCAATGGGTCTACAAGTATAAATCAAACTGTTTTCATCTCCTTTTAAAGGAAGCCAAAGCAATTCCTTTAAAACAACAGCAAGGCAAAGGCACCAGTGCCCACTCCCCTAATACATGATTTCTGTTATAAACATTTTAGACCCAATAAATCCAGCAAGTAATTCATTTTTATCTTTGACACCTGTAGTGAGGAACCCAGAACTTTGGGTGAGGATGTGTGATTATCAGGATGGGTGGGAGTACTTGTGCTATATTTTCCAATTTCCACTCCATTATTTTGTTTTATTCCTACTCAATTATTAAGCTCCCTGGGAACACTGTAGTTGGCTGGCCTTTAACTATGTAGCCCAGGTTGGCCTTGAATTCACAGCTGTTCTCCTCAGCTTCCTGTGTGCTAAGATCACAGGCATATGCCACCACACCTGATTCAAAATGGAGAATCTTTAAAATACCTAGGACTAGGGGCTGGGGATTTAGCTCAGCGGCATAAGCGCCTGCCTTGCAAGCATGTGGTCATGAGTTCGACCCCTGGTACCGGTAAAAAAAAAAAAAACAAAAAAAAAACCTAGGACTAACTGCTCTCCAAGAACAGCTGGATTACAAATGCAGGGGATGTACTGCATCTTTTTTTTTTTTAAATGAGATAGGGTCTTGCCTGGTAGCTCAGGCTGGCCTTGAATTCACAGCAATCCTCCTGCCTATCTCCCAAGTGCTGGGATTACAGCTGTGCACCACCCAGCCTGGCTCTGCCAATGTTAATTACACTATTAATTATAAATAGCACTTATCTATCTCACAAACCCTGCAGCTGAGGTTAAGCCATGGAAGAGGCAGTTTATTCAGTACACTTTGGCCTCTGCTCAAGGTCTGGCAACATCCTACCCTTCAAGTTCACAGTTCAGAGGGGTAGCACAGCCATGAAGGAGAAAACAGAAGCAGGGCAGGGAGTTGGGAAGACCCAAATAAAACTCAAGGATCAAGATGGAGGAAGCCGGGCAGTCTTGCCTGATGATCGCTTCCTCCAAACTCAGATGTAAATTCTTTGATTTGGCCACCAATTCTTTCAGTTCCTTTTTTTCTGAGACAGGGTCTCACTACACAGTTCAGGCTGAACCTGAACTCTCTATGAAGCCCATGTTAGCCTTAAACTCTCAGGGATCCTCCTGCCTCAGCCTCCCAAGTGCTGGGATTGCAGGTGAGCACACCATGTCTGGCTCTCAATTTCCTAAGACTTCCATCAAAACTGTGAACCCACACACACACCAGTTTGTCCTGGAAACTCATAACTGCAAGTACCTCCTGGCTTGGTACTGGCCAAGGGGCTGCGAATGGCCAGGAAACCAGTCTTACATTTCAAAATGTTTTTTTTTTTTCAGGGTGTACCAGAGAATACAAAGATATTTAAAATGCAAATTACAACTTCACTGGCACTCAGTGATGCCAGTTCTTGCCAGAATACCCACCCTCACCCAAGGTTCTCTTTTTTTTTTTCTTTTGTTGTTGTTCTGAGACGCTATCGTTAAGTAGTTCAAGGCTCACAGTGATCCTCCTGTCTCAGCCTCCCAGAGTGCTGGTATTAAAGGCATGTTACCACACCTATCCTTTTTCATGTTTGAGTATCAGAAACCAAAATCCATATGGCTTCCTACTTTGTTTTTCTCCAGTGTAGAGTATGGGCCATATCATGTAGTCCTTAGAATGGATAGTTGTCTTCTTAGTTTCGAGGCAAAGCATGTCAGTGCAGCAGCAGAGGTCTCAGGGGAGCTCCAAGGTGCTCAGAGACAGGGAAGTCATACATCACAGAAGCTGTCCCAAGGTGGATGGATGCAATGGCAGAGGCATTTGTTGGTCTCTTACTCAGCAAACTGGTCCAAGAACTTGAGGTAGGCCTGGCGCTGGGGTGCACCAGCTGGAACGAAGTGGCCACCAGAGTGGGCTAGCGTAATGGCTCCTGGGAATCGGCTGGCCAGCTGCATACTCTCCTGAGAGGGGATGACTCGGTCAGTATCCCCAAAAACATGCAGCGAAGGCAGTGACAATGGGTTGTGCATAATAGGTTCTTTGAGGCCAAGCCCTCGGGGACAGAAACCAGAGATAAGGATGATAAATCGAGGCAAGGGAAATCGAAGATCACCAGCCTGGCCCAGGGCACACACAAGGGCTGCTAGTGCAGCCCCCTGGCTGAAGCCAAGGAGTCCATCAAAAGGCCCCAACTTGTCCAGTGCCTGTGCCACCGTTCCCAGGGCTTGCTCCAGGCCCCTGCACACCGTAGGCTCTTCCAGAGCGTTGAAAATGTCTGCCTCCTCCGAAAACCACCAGCCTCGGGGCTGCTCCTCCGGAGGGCAGGTCCCTACAGGCAAATGGAAAAGGATGGAAACAGGGCAAGGGAAACGGAGGAAACAGAGGGAACACAGGGAAGAGACTGGAGAAAACGAGGCGGGAATGAGAGGCTTAGCAGGGACCAGAGACTGATGAAAACGGAAGCCTGGGAGCTCAAGGCCAGAGTTCGCGCCGCAGACAAGGAGGGAAGAAAAGGGAGGGCGGGGCTTTGAGAGGATGTAAATGGACGAGGCAAGGGCAGGGCTCCTCTCACCGGAGTTTGGCGCGGTGCCCTCTGGGCCCGCCGCATCAGGGACTGGGTGGGGACCACTGAGACACACGAGCTCCGCGCGCCCCCGCAACGCCTTCCTCAAAGCGCCAGTCTTCTCGCGGAACCCACGTTCACTCTGCCGGAAACCCGCCAGACACAAGACCCGCAGGGGCCGCCGCGCAGCCATGTTGTCGGGCAGCGGGCTTCAGAGGCACCGGAAGCGGCGCCTCCCGGAGCGGAAGTAGGACAGCGAGGGGCGGGGCCAACGCCCGCACCGCCTTGAAGGCGGGACTCCACAATGCAGAGGGCGGGGTTGGGCCAAAGCAGAGGAAACCTGGCAATGGGAGACTCCTACCTGGGACCCAGGGCGGGTCTTCAAGGAGCCGACGGCATCACTTTATCGTCTCTGCAGCTGCAGCTCTTGCAAGCCGCGCCTGGAGAGGGGCGCATGGATCCCTCCTGCACCTGAGGTCGTAGATTTGTGTCAGCCCGGCTTCTGCGACCGCCTGTTTACTTCAGTGCATTTCCTGTTGCGGCCGCAGAGCGGCGGCCTCGGCTCATATGTCGCCAAGGAGACGGCGAACGCCAGGGCCGCGCCCATGGGCTGCCCTTCCTTCCTCCCTCCTTGAAGCCCGAGCTACCTTTCCCAGTTCGGCTCTGGCAGGGCCGTGGGGGGTTCGGTCGCGCCCGTGGTTCACTGTCCACGGCCCCAAGGAGCTGCCGGCGTAAAAGTCCATGGGGTAGGGATCCTGCCAGGAAATGTCCCTCAAGACCACAGCTGCCTAGTGTAGGAAAACCGGACAGCAATATTTGTCAACATTTTCTTGAGCCTGGATTATTGAATTTAATCCTTACAATGGCCTATGAAAGGTATATTATCCCCATACTGCAGAAAGGAGATGTGAGGCTCAGACAGATTGAGCAATTTGCATAAGGCCACACACAGCAAGAAAGTGGCTCAGCTAAGGAATTCAAGACTGTCTGAAGTCAGGACCTGTGAGCTATCCACCTCATTCCACCTCAGAGCCTTCTTTTTGGTACCAGGGATCGAACTCATGACCTTGCGTTTATCAGGCAAGCACTTAAGCCACTGAGCTAAATCCCTGGCCTCAGCGCAGTTCATTGATAGAATGAGGTACAGAGCCTATTCTCCCACGGATTTTCAAAACTTGATGTTACCTCATAGGGTGTCAGCAGTGGCTTGGGGAAAGCTGTACCCCAATCAATGGAGAGGCGAGGACATGCCACCTGCACCCACCTGGGAAGAGAAGCCTGATCAGACCTGAAACAGGGGTCTCCCTGCTCCTAGGCAGCATGCCAAAGAACAAAACAGAACCCCTAACATATCCATTAAAAAAAATTTTTTTTTTTACCGGTACTAGGGATCAAATTTATGACCACACACTTTCGAGGCAGGTGCTTAATGCCGCTGAGCTAAATTCCCAGCCCCTGGTTTTTTTTTTTTTTTTTTTTTTTTTGTCTTTTTCCTTTTTTATCAGTCCCAGGGATCAAACTCATGACTGCCTGCTTGCAAGGCAGCACTTATGCCGCTGAGCTAAATCCCCAGCCCCTGTTTTTGTTTTTTGAGACAGGGCCATGCTATATACATAGCTCATGCTAGTCTTGAACTCACTGTGTAGACCAGGCTGGCTTCAAACTCATAGCAACCTATGTGTTGGCATTACAGGCTTGTGCTACCAAGCCCAGCAATAATAGGATTTGTGAACGTTAAAGTAAAGATTATCACCTCCTACAATTTGGAAATACTGCACTGTTGCTTATTTTTTCCTGTTGCTTCCTTTGACTTCACTGGAGTCAGCTTACATGTGTCAGTATTTCCAGAACCCAATTTAGTACCTGGTACAGTGCAGGCACCACACACGCCTCAGACTCATCTCACCAGAACTACTGTGATGTTGCCTTGCCTCTGAGCCCAAGGAAAGACAAAGGAAGTGACCCGTGACCAAAAGTAATCCCTGCTGGGGAAATTCTTGGTGAACATTAAAATTTCATGACCATGAAAGTAATTCCCATTGACTACAGGCTTCGATCTGCTGAGCAGGACCTAGCTTTTAGAATCAAGCTAGGTAGAAAACTTACACATCCACCCCAGGAACTAGGCTGAGCTTGCTGGGGAAGATCTCAGAGAGCAGAAGCCTCACAAAGGGAAGTCCCAAAGTTTGAAGTCGAGATTCCAGGTGCTGTTTATGGAGAGGAAGGTTAAGCTGGGGTTACAATGATCAGCCAAAGCTAAATCCCTTAGCTAACTGGTTTTTCCAGCTGGGTTTTGGTCAGCCTTCTCCTGAGGCCATCCCAAACTCTCTGACCTCCAGGATCTTGGGACTGCCTTGACGGCCCAAAGTTCCCAGAATAAGACCCCAGGATTTGGCTGAGCGAGCAGTGGCTATGGCTTCCTGGCGAACAGCCTGCATGTGCTGGTGGTCATAGTGCTCTCTGGACAGGACTTTGCTGTAGGGGTCATATCTGGAAAAGAAGTTGCCAAAATCACTTGTGACAGCCGTTCCTAAAACTCTTGCCCCATGCTGGTAATTAGGAAATGAGGCTCCAGACAAGTACAAGGAGCACCAATGGGAAGATCAGTCCCATAGTTGCAGCAGGCAAAAGTTGAGAAAAGTCTTAGGATCTCAGTGTGAATAGTAAGTGGGCAACAGTAGCCCTGGGTTTAATGCCCAGATGCAGAACTCAAGAGCTTAGACCTTTGAGGCTGGTGCCATGTAGTGGCTGGGAGCCTAAAGAAGTCTAAATCTGTTGACAGGGAGGGAATTTTACCCCTCAATATCAAGTCAGCCCAGCCCAGCCCATACCGGTAAGCAGGGACATTGGGGTTAGCAATCATGACAGACTCCAAATGGAAGCGGCCATCTCCAAGATACCTGCAAGGATGGAAAGAAGCTGTTAAGTATGGTATGGGACAGCAGAAGAGGCCCATGCTGCTATATAAACATAGGGACAAGTCCTCATTTTCCATTCTGGGGCTTTGGTTTCAATTATGTAAGATAAGGAGTTTCCAGGTATAAGAGCACAAACCTGAAATCCCAGTACTCTGGGAGGCCAAGGCAGGAGGATTGCAGGTTCAAGCCCAGCCTAGGTGACTTAGTGAGACCCTATTCAAAATAAAAAAGGCCTGGAGATATAGCTCAGTGTGAAGGTGCTGAGTTTAATCCCCAGTACTGAGGGTGTTGGGGGAAACATTTGATTTGGATGCCTGTGAGACCACTCCCCACAATTATGTAATGCAGAACCTAAGTACTGCCTCACCCCAGCCTTCTAGGGTAAGAGTACAGGAATAGCCAAGGCCATGGTAAGGTCACTTGGGTCTCTAGACCGTCTAATTTGGAAGCTGGGGGACAGATCTTTTTTTTTTTCCTTTTTCTTTTTTCCGGTACTGGGGATCGAACTCACGACTGCCTGCTTGCAAGGCAGGTACTTATGCTGCTGAGCTAAATCCCCAGCCCCCATGGGGGATAGATTCTTACCAAGCTCAATATAGCATGGAAAGTAGCGTTCAGGGGGCACTAGGCTGAAAATAAGGGTTCAGGGTACACACTGGACAATCTTCCCCAAACCAGTTTTTGGGTCCAAGTACTGAGTTATAAGAGCAGCTGCTGTTTCTTAGACCTGGGTCTTCTGTGTTCCAAGCCTGAACTCAGTACGTGAAGTGCATGTATTCAGCAGCTCACCTAGTCCTGTCACATAATCTCCAAGATAATGAGAGCTTCCCCTGCTTTTGCTGTTTTGTTTTGGGGTGGGGGGCAGGGTCTCACTATGCAGGATGGCCTTAAACTTTAAATCCTCTTGCCTTAGCCTCAGAGTACTAGGATTACTGGTGTATACCACCATGGCTGATTTTTAATATTCTCATTTTATAGAAAATACAGTTGAGGTTAATGGATGTTAAGACACCTACCCAAAGTTAAGCAGCTGTGAAACACTATATTTGAGACTTGTCTGCTGCCAGGCTTGGATGCCAGCCTGTACCAAGCATGCCCTAAAAGATGCTATCCAACAGTACCTTTCCAAGCCATGGAAACTTCACAGTATGGAAGATAATCTGCTCATGGTAGCCATTTCCCTCTTGGAGATCACACTTTGTTTTATGAATAGTCAACACTCATGATACCCCTGCCCCAACATATACCTGGAAGCCCCGAAGGGAAGCATCTAGGAGCTCAGGGTTGTAGACACATAGACACATGGGGAATGCCCCTTGGGGAGCAAAGCTGGCAGGCCTGGGATGCAGAAGACCTGAATGTGGACCTATGTGGGTACAGCAGGCTTATGGGACCAGCATCCAAAGCCCCAGAGGCAGGACTGTGTCAGAGAGCGCCTCTCCCTCTTTCCCTGTCATTATTAGGAATGGGACTCCCCTCCCCAGTCCAGGGTCGGGGAGCTGTTGGCTCTGAAGCTGCTGCATTCACACAACATTAAGCATTTCCATTACCTAAAATAATTAGGCAGCAGGAGACATGCTGCTCCTGCTTGTTAGTTGTCTGGATGCTAAATTAATGGGGCTGCAGCCTGGGCGCACCCATCCATCTTCTCCAATTATATTCCCACCATTTCTGTCCCACCCTCACCCTCTCCCCACTAGGCCCTTTGATTCCTGTTCCACCTCAGGTACAGCCTTCTGAGGGTGAACAAAGCCTGCAGAGAGACAGAAAACTGAGGTCTAGTTCCCGTTTAGTCTGATCTTGCACGGTGACCCTGGGTGCAGCCTTGACAAGGTGAGGAGCTTCTTAGACTCAGTTTCCTCTCCTGTATGATGACCTGAGGTTCTTGCCCAGAATATGCTTCTAATGACTGTATGACATGGCCCCCAGTTTTTACTTACACAATAGCGTCTACCTCCTTGGACAGTCGGGGGGATGTGCAGCCCAGAATCTCTCCGGGGGACAAGGGCTTGCACTGTGGGACACTCACACGGTACTCAGCTTTCAGCTGTTGGGAAGCTGCCTGTAGGGATAATGAGGGAAGGGAAGCATGTGGCTCAGGAAGGGAGCTAGGGCCAGAGGAACAATGCAGACCACCTGGTATGGAGATCCAGAAACAGCCTGGACCGTGGTCATGGTTGCTCCATGAGATTCTAGGGATCCTCACTTCACTTACCTGCAAGGTTGACACAAACTGAATGGTGCTGACCAGGGCAAGAGCACTATCTGGAGGAAAGGTGAAACGGATAGAGTCCAGGAGGTGGGCAGTGTCTATCCGGATGTCCACAAAGACGTACAGCACCCGGAAGTCTTGTACTGAGATATCCATAGGAACTCAAGGGAAAGAAGAGTTGAAGAAACTATTTTTGGAAGGCAGGAAGAGCATAAAACTTGCCCC